GGACATTTCCTGCCTTCCAGCATGCCAATTGCCGCTCCCATCAAAACTTGCGAACATCGTGCGGCATTGTGCTGTGTGAAAAACTGAACCATTTTAGAGTGACCCTTTTTATCTGTGGCCAGCCTAAGGCACACCTGTGCAATATATCATGCTGTCATCAGCATCTTGATTGCCACACCTGTGAAGGTGGATGGATTATCTGACAAGAGAAGCTCACTATCAAAGATTTTTTTCAGATTTGTGAACAATATTTGCGAGATGTATTTGTGTGTGTAAGAAAATGTTTTGATCGTTGAGTTCTTCTCATGAAAAATGGGAGCAAAAACAAGAGGTGTTGCATTAATTTTTGTTCAGTGTATTTAAGATTCAATTAGATAAAGACCAAGAATTTACTTATCCCGAAAGATAATTGTCTCCAAGAACAACAAAATACAATAAACACCAGCAGTCACAAACAGAAAAACTGCTACACTAACAAAGTCCAGCAAAAAGAAGCAATTACACATCTACAGACGAACATGAAACATACGAAACACACATGTCCACCACATCAAGTGCCAAGTATTAGCAGTATTTACAGTTAGTAGGAAAAAAAATAAACGTAGTGGCAAGTTAACGTAATTCACGTTACATAGCATTAATAATAATATCAATAAGTAAATATTGCACATAGTTTATATAGCAGCAAGTGATGTAAGATGGTAATTATAATTGATATGGTATATTGCAGCATAGTTTGGATGTGGAAGTTCTCAGTTCCCTTTCTTAAGGGTGAAGAGTTAACAGAGTTTGATTGCCACTGAGGAAAGCCCTTCCTGTGGCGCTGTGGTGGTCTTCGGGTTGATCTCAGTCTGTGGCTGAAGTGCTGCGGTAGGAAACCAGTGTGGCATGCAGGGGTGTCGCAGAATGCTGGAAGTTTCCTCAGCATTCTCCCCTCCGACACCCACTGGCCAAGACTCCTGATCCACTCCTCAGGACATGAGCCTGCTCTCCTTGACTGAGCTGTTTGAGCGGCATCAGCTGTCTTCCACCCCCGCGGCTCCAACACACTACAAGCAAAGAAGATCACACTGCGAAGACCACCGAGTCATAAAGACATCTGCAACACTAGTCTGCCAGACGTTAAAGGACCCTGAGTCTCTCTGAGGAAATAAAGGCGACTCTGGCCTTCTCTTAGGGCGGTCAGGTTTTAACTCCCAGCCAGTTCTATTGTCCTATGTGGAACTTGTAGCTGTCCACAATGTCCACATCCATGCCCACGATGTTTAATTGGGCTTGGGGCGGTACTTCGCTTCCTAAAGTCAACCACCTAGCTCCTTAGTTTTAGTGGACGTTGAGCTGCAGATGGTTCTGGACCGCACCACTCCACAAAACTGTCCACCACACTCCTGTACTCATCTTCCTGATCTCTTGATGATACAGCCCACAATGGCAGAGTCATCTGAGGAATTTCTGCAGATGGCAGGACTGTGAGCAGTGTATGAAGTTCTGATGTATAGACTGTGAACAGGAAGGGAGGAGAGAGGACCGTGCCCTGAAGAGCGCCCGTGCTGCTCAATATAATGTCAGAGGTGTTGTTCTGCAGTCTCACGTACTGTGGCCGAGCTGTGAGATAGTTAGTTATCCAGCTCACCAGTGGAGCATCCACCTGCATTTCCAGTAGCTTACTGCTGAGCAGGGCAGGTCTGATGGTATTGAAAGCACTGGAAAAGTCAAAGAACATGCCTGCCTTCTCAAGGTGTGTGTGTACTCTGTGCAGCAGGAAGATGATGGCGTCCCCCACTCCAATACGAGGCTGATATGTGAACTGCAGGGGGTCTAGTGATGGTGCGACCACTGTACGGAGGTGTTTAAGGACCAGCCTCTCCAGTGACTTCATGGCATGTCATATCAAAGCCACCGAAATTAAATTAAAGCAAAGATTACAAATGACAAAGCAATGACTCACACAGTTCATATTTCGTAATAGGTCAAATATAACAGAGGGATGGTTTCACTCGTATACATACATACACTCTTCCTTTGTAAAAATATTTACAGTAACAAGTCATTTTCTGGCTACATTTATTTAACTGTCTTTGCTCTAACCTAAAAGTATTGTTAGCACTGGGGCCAAAGCAGAACAAAGCCAAAGCAGCTTTCATTTTTGACTTTCTTGCTCTCTCTGTATTCTATGGAAGCCAAAATCTGCCACAGGAAAGAAAAAAGTGTATCCCGCTAGTCATAATTATGACTTACTTTCTAATTTTCTGACTTATTTATCTCAGTGATATGGCTTTCTATCTCCTTATTTAGACTTAAAATCTAATTATTATGACTTACTTTGTCATTATGTTTGACTTGTTATTACCATCTCATTATTTGGATTAAAGTTCAGTTCAATCAGGAGAGACTTCATTTTTTGTTGAAAGAACATTTATTGACTCATGCACTTCGCCCGACTGACATCGCGTGAGGTGTCTTCCATCTTGGGAGCGGACAGTGTCGATTCCAACCTCTCGGGAGACTTTACAGCAGATGAACTCAGTGAGGCCATAAGTAAGCTCAAGCAGGGCAAATCTCCGGGCCACGACAACATCCACCCGGAGTTCGTCACCCACCAGAGCACAACAACATCTGGCTTGCTCTGTGCATTCTTCTCGTCGTGCTACCGGAGGTCAAAGCTCCCAAAGACCTGGCCCCGCGCCTCCGTTATAGCTCTGCCGAAGCCAAATAAACCTGCGGAAGACCCCAAGTCATACAGACCCATCTCACTGCTCTGTGTCCCATTCAAGATCTTGGAGAGGATGATCCATAGCCGCATCGAGCCTGTGGTGGACTCACAGCTTCCACGGGAACAAGCTGGTTTTCGTTGTGGAATGTCAAATCAAATCAAAGTTTATTTATAAAGCACATTTAAAAGCGATTTTTGGTCAAAGTGCTGTACATGTAATAAATACTACAATCACTTAAAAACACATTACTACATTCATAATAAAAGACAATAAATTACAACAGATATATAAAAAACACAGGGAAAAGTCAGGAGTCGTGCTCCGCTCTGACTAAAAGGCCAGGGAGAAGAAGTGTGTTTTAAGAGTAGATTTAAAAACCCCTAGGGATCTGGGCCGACCTCACATGGAGGGACAGAGTGTTCCAGAGCCTAGGGCCAGCTGCTGCGAAGGCTCGGTGCCCTCGGGTTTTGAGCCTGGTCTTGGGCACTATCAGCAGCAGCTGGTCAGCAGATCTTAAAGCTCTGGCTGGGGTGTAGCGCTGGAGTTGTTCAGCTTTATAGGCCGGAGCCAGCCCATTTAGTGCTTTAAAAACAAATAAAAGGAGTTTAAAATCAATTCTGAACCGAATTGGAAGCCAGTGCAGAGAGGCCAGAATTGGGGTGATGTGGTCACGCTTTTTGTGGCCAGTGAGTAGACGTGCAGCTGCGTTCTGCACTAGCTGCAGACGCCTGGTCCATACCCACGTACAGAGCGTTGCAGTAGTCCAACCTCGAGGTAACAAAGGCGTTAATAACCCTTTCCAGGTCTTTAAAAGATAAAAACGACTTGGCCAATAGTCGTATTTAAAAAAAGCAGGTTTTGACTACGCTGCTGACCTGCTTATCGAATTTAAAAGCGTTATTGAAGGTCACTCCAAGGTTTGTGACAGAGGGGAGGATATTATTTTTGAGGGAGCCCAGAATATCAACCTGGGAGGCTGGAGGTTGGGGTCCAAAAAAGATAACCTCAGTCTTGCTCTCATTGAGGTTGAGGAAATGTTGGCTCAGCCAGGATTTAATCTCTGCTAAGCAGTTCATCAATAGCTGTAATGAGTTGTCATTTGAATTGAGTGGCAGATAGATCTGTACATCGTCGGCGTAGCAGTGGAAGGGGATGTTGTGTTTTGTGAGAATTGAACCTAGGGGCAGTATGTACAGTAGAAAAAGGATGGGGCCCAGAATCGAGCCTTGGGGAATCCCACAGCTAAGAGGGGCTTTGGCAGAGGAGAAGGCACCTAGCTGCACAGAGAAGCTACGTTCTGTCAGGTAGGACCTGAACCATGCAGGCTGTTTTAGGCAGGAAGACCTACTGTTTCTTTAGAGTTTTCCGGAAGAGCGTCCCTTCCTCGCCGGGGTATGGGGCTCTGATAGGCATAAGAAGGTCGGGGTCCGGGGAGATCATCGCAGCCGGTGGCTGAGTGACGCCCGAACGACGTGACCGGCATATGGTGGATCCCCGTGTTCGAGGGGAGGCCTTCAGTGGTGACATTGGAACTAGAGGAAGGTCACAGATAAAATAATCAGCAAAACTAAAACAACAGCAAACAACATCCACATTTGTCCATACAACCTTTCTAAATATATGGTTCTGGAAGCTTTGTGATGTAGGGAAAAGTCACTGGACGTTTAGGTAAACTGCAAATGACGAGCTAACTACAAACATGTTTATCAGCTGGAACATGCTGGCGCTAAAAGCTTCTGTCCATAGCTGCACTGTTATACTCTGTAGAAGGAAAATATGATATCTGAGCTTACAAACTAGTTAAAATTCAATCAGCAATCTTGCTAACGTTCAGTCAGTAACATTGTTAGTAAATTTGCCAAAGGTTCACATTTGTTTAAAATATAAAATGTTGTCTGAAAGCCTTGTTACTTGTGGATGTGGATGACATCTGCCAATCACATGCCTTGAACTCCAAACACATAGTGGACACTCATAGGGAACAAAGTAAAGAATCAGGACTAATTGCTGTTGCTTACCATGTTGTACGGCTGGAGAAGGAGGCGCTGTTAAAAGATCCTCCATAGATCCATGGACGGAGCTGTGGCATGACCATGATGGTTGGGGCACTCTGGGAAACCCCAGAGCAATTGAGTCTGAGTAGAGCTGAGCGCTGAGGTTTGCTATGCCAGGATTCCTAATTATTGGAAAGCCACAGACGCGCTCAATATACTGCCATCGATGGAGGCGCTCCCGTAAGCAGGCTGTTACTTCACACAAGGCATTCCTTTGGGATATATGAAGAGCGTTGTGACATGTGTTAATTATTTACTGTGACAAACACAATCAAAACTTGCCGAGTGTATTTTGTGACTCACTTTGCCTCCAGGATCTTCTGGTCAACTTGGTCTAGAGAGGAGCTGTGGGCGACCTGGAGAGTCCCGAACACAGAACTCCTCTTCTTCTTAATCCTCTCCGCCTGTGAGGAAGTACATGGGAAGGTCACTAAACCAAACTGAGGCTGCATGGCGGCCATGCTGATCATAGCCATGGTGAAATTCCTGGCTTGGCATTTGACCTTTGTGCCCTCAAAAAAAATGTAAATCCTTATTGACCATTACTTCCAAATGATGAAATTCCAGGCCTGGTTATGTATGTAGTAATTTGTTAGAATTTCTGTAATTTTTTTTACAGTTTTGCAACTAATCAAGTATAGTCACTGTGAACATTGGTGTGTTTTTCATGTCTGTCCCCCTTTTGTATGCATTACCTCTTCCTTGGCGATTGCAAGCTGTAATTCTGCTCTGTGCCTCTTGACATTGTAGTATTGGACTTCTACCTCATGTGTCAGCTGCAACCACAGCTGGAGGGTCTCTGAGGCATTTGAGCTAGCCTGCATGTCCTTCTCTGCCTGCTTTAGTGCTCCACGGACCTGAAGGGGTGGCATCAGTCAAATATTAGAGATCAGTTTGTAGACAAATGAATGAAAACTGATGTTGAAGATCTCCTATCATGCTATTTTTAGGCATCAGATATATCAAAACAATATATAAAAACATATCTATAATGTGTTTTGCTCAAAACACCAAATAGGTCATGCATTTTAGACATCCCTCATATCCCTCTATTTCAGCCCTGTTAGAGAATGGCTGATTCTCTGCTGGCCCCGCCCCCTTTTGAGCACGCAGTCACACTGTGAGTTCTGTGACGAGCAGGTTGTCTTCTCTCAGATAAATGCTGCCGTGATCAAACGCCACATCATGTTCCAAACCACATTAAGGATTATTTCTGAAACAGTATAGAGCTCAAATGCTTCTTTTCTTGAGGGTTTACCACAAGGTGAGTTATTTTCTTTATTTCCTACACATACTCTCTCCAGTACAGGATAGCTCTGAGTCTTAGCGATGCTTGCTATGTAAACAAAGACCATATTACGTCCAAAACAGTCTGCCATTGTTTCTGATGGCAACGTTTCTGATAGGGCTGTGGGTGTAAAGTCAGCCCATATTTCCGATATTACGTCATATCGGACGCAAATCTGGATCCGTGGTACCCCAGTTTTTAGAGATTTGGGTACGGAGGAAAAGAGAGAGGGTTTTAGTTCCCTGGAACACCGGGGACACATATTTATGTATAAAATACATCAAAAAATGCATTTTGCATGATAGGAGACCTTTGAAGCCTACAATTCCTTCAAATAACATTCACCTGTTTGCAACTTACAAATTATGTATCACTTGTCTCTTATGGCGCGACTTCTATTCTATTTTATTGTATTTACTTGCACTATTTTATCTGTTATATTGTGTGGCACTGTTGGAGGAGCCTGTGACCTAAGAATTTCATCGACATAACTACTCAGTAGCTATGTGCGAATTACAATAAAAGCCTTGAATCTTGAAATAATTTAAACTTTCCAAACTCTACCAAAGATGACAACATGACAGGTGATAACTAGAGAGTGCAGTATACTGTAGTTGTGTCTCTACCTGCACCAGCTCTTCCTCTGCCCATCTCAGGCGGCTGAGTTCACTGACAGCTCCCTGCCTCAGCTCGTGCAGTCGGTAAGCCTCCTCATGCGCCCCCATGATCTCATCCCTCATCTTCTCCTCCAGGTTCTGTTTTTCCTCTGCCACATTACGTTTTTCTTCCTGTGCTCTCTCCAGTCTGAGGAAGTGAAATGTTTTCGGTGCAATCAAACCAAACAAAGTACATTCAGTAATGTATAGTAAGTGAGAGATAACCAAATACTCACTGTTCCTGCATATCTAGGAGGCTCTGTTCAGCCCTCTGAAGACTTTCCAAATCTTTGATCATCCTGGCTATGTGGCATTTACTTGCTTTATTCTGGGTCCCAGCAAACCAGCAGCCTCCAACTCCCATCACCACCGATACAATGAGCAACAGGTCCTTCATATAGTTATGAGGGGGACCTGAGGTGGAATTGAGAGTAATGATTATGAATTGTTGATTAATCATGCAAAATAAAGTAATAGTAATTTACACATCAACAAGTTAGCAACAACACATTTGACATTCTCTTTTTTTAATTGACACACTGTTTCAGCCTATTAAACCGCTGCACACTGGTACTTTTTGGGGATAAACAACACAATAGGGACAAGTCAAATGTTATCTGTTAGATACTGGAAACATCTGAAGAATTTGTAGGTATTTAAGCTAAAGTGGCAGATTGGTAGAACAGTAACAGATACGCTAAAGAGACAGTGAGATAAAATGTGGTGAGGCCTTCTTACGTGTAGGAGGTCCAAACAATACAACATCCAGAGCTTTGATGTTGAGCTTCTGTTTGTCTCTCTGGTCCTGAACCCTCAAATGGCCACTCAGAAATGCTGGCTCATTGGCTGCAATCCTGCACAAAGGTGTTAGAGTTGAATGTGTTGTGTGACCCTTCAAAACAACTGACTTGTTTTTAAAGTTTCTCGCTTGGAAGACGCACAAGAGATCTGGCAGCAGTCAAATTGTCTTTTTTGCTTAGGAAGATTCCTAAATGAGTGAAGAAAAGTTGCTTCAATACTTCCATTCTTATCTCATTTCGCAAGGAGACACTCCAATCCCGTAAATAAAGTAGGATTCTCTTATTTCCACAGTTTTACAGTCAAATTATTATTCTTAACATCTTCCCTTAACCACATGATGTATTCCATTGAGGTCAAGGAAAATTGGAGAAAATATAAGAAAATGTTAATTTATTTGACTATCTGATTGCAGCCTTAATCCCGGTTGACTATAGTATTATTTTTGGATATCCTCACCTGGGGAGTGTATTTCCATTGACCTTAAAGTCTTTAAAGTTCCTTTCATACTGGGGCAACTCAACAAAATCCTTCAGCCAGCGAACCACATCATCTTGAGTCCAATTATGTACTGAAAGTGAGACAAAGAATAAGATAATGTAAGACAAGATAGACTGACACCTTGTGGAACAAACCCTGTCTCTCTCTTTCTCTCTGTCACACACACACACACACACACACACACACACACACACACACACACACACACACACACACCTTCAGACGACTTCCAACCCCTCCATAGCTCCTCGATTGTGATGTGTTGGTCTTCTCTGTGCAGGTGGCTGTGTTTGTTGGTCTGCTGCTGCTTCATGTCCTCGATTATGAACTGTATAACATAAGAGAGGGACAAAGGGAATATGTAAAAACTGAGAGAGTGAAGATCTCGGCCAAGGCCTTTCAGTAACTCCAAACAATCTGTGTATTTGCCATGTGATTTGGATCCCCTCTTTCTTTCCATGTTACATCTTTCTACCAAGTTGCATACAAATATGACTTGTAGTTCTTCTGTATTCCTGATGACAAACAAACCTACACACACACATACAAACAAACCAACCCGAGAATATAATGTCTAAAAAATATTAAGAAATGCAGATGCACAAAGCGAAGCTAAGGTCTCACAAAGACTTTTACGCACACATCTCTCCTTCCAAAAGCAGTCGGGATAATGTTGCAATGTGTTAAGTATTTAGAATTCAATTCTAGGAGTAAGGACTCTGTGTTTTAAGTTAGTATTTATTTAGAATGTGTGTGTGTGTGTGTGTGTGTGTGTGTGTGTGCGTGTGTGTGTGCGTGTGTGTGTGTGTGTGTGTGTGTGTGTGTGTGTGTGTGTGTGTGTGTGTGTGTGTGTGTGTGTGTGTGTGTGTGTGTGTGTGTGTGTGTGTGTGTGTTTTAATGCTGTCTTGGAATGTGTCCTAGGCTGTAAACGGAGACTTCATATGATTGCGAGAGGAATCTTGGGGCTGGGTTTTGATGAGCCCAGCCCCCTCCTGAAGTCTCTATGGCGACCGCAACCTAAGCCCCTGGATACTGTATCCCTGAACTGCATTCTATATGGCGAAAGTATTCTAGAATCATGGATTTACTACCAATGTCAGATACAATTTAAGACTCACAAACTCTTTGGAATAAATAATAATTCATTCTGGATATTTAAAAACGTAATAGTTATTAAAATGTGATCCGGAAGACACCTACTGTTGTGTGAACCACCACAAATGAGGTTTGTCTTTGGACACATTTTGTCAACAAGATATCCACAATAGGGTAAGTTGCAGTCCTAAAACTTCATTGGTGTGTTTGAAAATAAAATTAAGACTAAGTTAAAAGTAGGTGTGGTCCAATCAAGGCCACTGGAAATAGGGGGGCTAGGAGGTTTTGAAAGGGCAATTGTGGCATTATTACTGGTGTGATCCATTACATTACATTATATATCATTTTAGCTGATGGTTTTGTCCAAAGCAACTTACAATAAGTGCAAAAACCACAAAGTTTCAAACTCCGAACAACAAGCAGAGTGCAGATATATTAACTTCAAGCAAGATCATACCATAGTAAGTGCTGGTGAATTAGTTAAAAGGCCTAAATCAACTCAAAAAGTTATTTGTTTTTGATCCCATTTTTGATCCCATTGCATAATGGTCTTCAGTTAAAGAAAATTATTTTTGAAGAAAGAAAACTATGTTTAGGAGGTGCAATATAGTACAAGTATGCAAAAAGATCAGATACGATAAGATAACAGATGAATATCTAACCATTTTTGAAAATACAATTGTGTATTGTATTTGCCCATTAACTTGTTGTTTTTTTTTTGTCATGGAATTTCACTCAATTACAGAAGTTTGCTCAACTTAAATAATAGTATTTTATAGAATGTATTACATCACTGAGGCAAATCAATTATTATTTTATTTTTACTATAATAAATTGGCTAAAGAATAAGAGACGCAGAGATCGGGTATCATTAGGAGGAGTTATACTGTTAAGTGTAACTATGAAGGTCACCAGCTTTGCCGTGTTCTATTAGTGCAAACCAATTTTGACCCTGAGCCAAAAGCAAAGTAATACTGTTGCTATCTTTGAAGCAGCATTTTGACTCTTCCAGCAGCCAGGACACCTGTTGTTGCTTTGCCCTGTCTGTCTAATAATGCAAGAGCAGACATGCAGGGCCAGCTAGGAAAACAAGGTAAACATGAATGATGAGTCTTGTACCTCCACACTCTCCTCCACCTCAATCCCTCCGTCTTGATCATCGTCCATCATCTGATGGATGCTCCGAAGGGCTTCCAGGCTGTAGCGATCCGCCTCGCTCATACATGGTGGATATACCACCATGCAGGGATCTACATGTGACAGGAAGGCAATGACATTATATCAATTAGTATTATATTACACATACCAATCATATCAAACATGTCAATTGTTTATTTTGTAGCAGTAATGGATGGACAATGCTCGATTAATCATTCCAAATTCAAGGAGCAAAAATGATGTGTGAACATTTAGTTATCCATTATCTTCTGTACATCATAGAACTCTTCTCTTTTTGTATATTGTGAACTCCTTAACATGTAAAAAAGAAAAAAGTAAATGGCCATGGTTTCTCTTAAAACACAAAAAAAATTCGGACAGCAATTATTAATTACATGTTTGTTAAAATAAATTGTATAGGATGTCCTGTTAGACCAGTAGTTGAAAAAGGTGCCAGACAATATGACACATTTAATCCTCACGCCCTCTTGATACTGGAAAGGGACATCTGTTGCTAGGTATACCCCTCTCTCTCCATATATGTTGTGACTGTCGATAACATTTAAATGCAACACAAATCTTAATTATTTAAAGGAACCATTTCTATATATGTGTACAAACATAGGGAATAACTATCTACATATCAGTTTAAGGATTTGTTGACAAAACAATTTCTCCTTAAAATGCCTTTAGTAGCTATACATGGTCCTTGCACTTTTGTTTGCACTCTTTTGTTAACCACCATTATCAAGGAAAATATAAAGCTTTTTAAGTTAAGCATAATATCTGAGCCCAATGTCCAAATGTAAGTCTGAACCAGGGCTTTTATATTCATCTTATGCCACAATAGTGGAGTCAACAAGAGAGTCTCTGAACCAAGAGACTGACAAGTTCTGGCAAACAAGTTTGTTTCTGTAGTGTCTATAGATCTAAGCAGACTGTAACAACTACAGTTTTAACCAACTCTGAAATGGAAACACATGTAGACTGTAGACAATCACAATGCTGTTTAAATTCTGTAAGTTATCAAATGCTGTTATAAAAATAAAACATAAACGGTGTTGGCCAATGAGCTTTAGGCTAAATCCTTAACTCCAGCGCTCTATAAGACAAGGTTTGACAAACATACTTGTTCAAATGCCAGCAAAGATTCTCTAGAAAATTAGTCATTGTGGCCAAATGTACTTTTGTAATTACATGTTAAACGGTATAGTGTTCCAGGCTCAATACGGGAACACTAAGAAGATGACACAGCTTGTCATCATCGTCGTGAGTCAGAGCCCATTTTTGTTTCTGTGACTGTGTTATTTGGTTGCTCCAATGAGCTGAGGGGACAGGGGTCAAAGGTCTACTTGTTGAACCCACTGTTAAAACCAGCTGGAGTAACATACAGTATGTTACTCTCCATCCAAAATGTAAGGGGAAAACAAGGGATGTGAAGTGGCTTCAGATGAAACCTGTGAAATATTTTTTCTTAAAAGTTCTGATTTTAATCTCGGAACATTTTGCCAAAAATGTTGTAAATAATGACAAAGTAGTATAGTTTTAAGTCCAACATGTTGCTATAGTAAAAAAGCACCAGACTAAATGATGCTAATAGACTAGTAGAAAAGCACCAGGGGTGCAGAGAAGGTTTTTTCAAAAGTTTTAGAAATAACACAACATGAACAGAAGAGGACAACATTTATCAAAATGATTCATTATTCGGCTTATTCTCACATAAAGGATGAATGTATAGAGCTAAGACATTGATCCCATCATAGTTGTTAAGGAAAGTTGCATTTCTCAACAAGGAGGAGACCTCCCAGCTTGGCATGGCTATCAAATATCAATGGTCTATGCAAAGACCCTCTGGAAAGTGCGTGTCTGAGTGTGTTATCTGTGTCCCTCTGGGACCTAAACATGACCCGAGTTTCAGTCTTTTCACAGGTGAGCTGTTAGGAGACCTGGGAACATAAGAGGAGCACAATGCAGCCAAGTTATCTAGTTATGAGGTTACAGTTTTAGAATAAAAACAACCCAGACAAGGTCCAGCAATATTTAGTGTGAAACGTTTTTTTATCATGTCTTTACATAAATCTCTACATGTCATTTTGGCAATGACTCAAGAACACATGTTAACAAAGGGTGTTCTTGTAAAGTTGGCTGCATTGTCTCGAGTACAATGACCTGTGGACAGTGCTTTAAAATAAGGCAGTTCATCTTTCAGAGTCATCAAAATGGAGAAAATGGACATTCTTGGCTTTCTTTCAAGTGTAATAAATAAACAATATTTAGGGCTGAAACCAACATGGTTAAAAAATGTTGAATGGGTTACCATGTGCACAGTTAGGATACATTTTTTCAAATTTGAATGCAAAATTGGATACGTTAGAAATAGAATAATGCAAAATACAGAAGCATGACCGTCTGCCTTTCTCAGCCATTGTAGAGACGAGATTGAAGTTAGGCCTTTAGTCTAACTTTTGTAACATTATTGGCTATGACAGTGCATATTTGAAAAAATGCAACTATATGAGTGAGAGCTGATGTACAGCTTTCCTATATAAATTGGCTCTTCTGTAATACCTGTTGGGTCGAATCCTGCGCTCCCTCCGGGGAAGGTGAAGCCCTGGAGGTCCCCAGCGCCTTGCGCGACCACAAAGAGCGCAACGGGGAACACGAGGAGCAGAAGGGGGGACAAGGGAAGCATTGCAGATGGTAGATAATCCTGTTGTCCAGATTTAAGAAACTCTTTCAAATAGAAGGAGTAAGAACATACACAGTAACAACCCCCGTTTAGGAGGCAACGCGGTCAGTCAGCGACACTCGTCAAGCGATCCGAGTTATTATTTCAGGGTCAGCCTTGCAAGCGAGATGTGATACCGATGATTCACTTGAGAAATCATGCAAGCTGGGTAATTGGCACTTTGAATTGTATGAAAACGTGAAAAAAGTTCCAACACGACTCCAACATGATTTGTACTATCATCCGAAGAAGTCTGTGCGTAAAATACTCCAAATATGGTCTTTGGTATTCCGGCAAAATAAGAGACAGTGGTATTATTAATCCAAACGTGGCCTAATAAAAAGTTAGAATAAAAAAGTCCTGACGCTCATCCATCATTATTAAAGTCAAAATTGCACTCAGAAACAGATTTTAAGTGTGCCAATGTTGTTTAAATATGTAGACGAAATCAGCTTAATCCTGCTCATGGTGAATATTTCTTCCCTGCTCCTTGTTGTTCCTGTTGGAGTCTGTCTCTTTATAAACCTGATAATCGGATTTGTCCAGTTCTCTCTTCTGTCACCACTTTCCCAAAAAGAGACGTAGGAATTGTGACGTTCTTACGCGGATATGACCGCCCCACCTCTTGTCTCCCTCACTCCCCCCCCCCCCCCCACTCGCCTCTTCTAGCAACAGGGGCCCTAACACTTCATCATGTTTCCTAACCCAGTCTCCAACCCAGACCATGGAGCTGCAGTGCTGATCCAGTGACCTCGATTTGTAGATATACCTAGTCTATTATGTGTAACAGAACTGAGCAGCTGCTTGTAATCCACCATGTGGCACAACAACAGAACACTCAATCATACCAACTGGTTTTTACTATCCATTCTCTTTTTGTGGCTTTATTGATCCTGGTTTGGGCGGAGGATCAATTTAAAGGCTTTAGACCTCACTGTGGGGAAGTGAGTTTAAGAGTATATTGCCGGGAATAGCTTGTCATATGTCCAGTCAAGGCCAGGCTGTCTGTGTCGCCTGACACTTGTATGCTTGTTCACAGATCTTCAAGCTATGTGCATAGACTTGGTAAATGTTTGTGCACCTGTTCATGAGGTTTCTGGTGCTATATATGGCTTGTCATTTCATCAACACACTCAGACGCAAACAGTGTATTTCCTTAACTTGAATTACTAGAAACGTTGAGAGTCGGAGGGACACAAACTGACCGCAGGACTACACATGCACACAAACAAGCACATCACATTCACACTCTTAAACAGTTACAAAGTATCAGGTTTCATTCCAGAAATTCAGCCCTGAGTTTAAAAATAGTGGGCAGCTTTGACCTATCCCCTTTGGAGCATGCCGAAAGCGGCACATGTCCAATAAGGCCTCTCCAGTATCCGAGTGTGTGGACTATATATGAATTTACCATGATTGCATCTAACCTTAGTCCTTTAGCTCCGTTTCTACTCATTAAGGATGATGAAAAAGAACCACAAAATACAAAACAAAAAACATTTATACAAGTGATATTCAGCTTCAGCTTGTTTTTATTCATGACCTTTTACTAAGAAACCTTGCCATATTGATTTACTTATGAAAGACTAACACGACAGACTAAAACTATGGTGGGATGATCATATAGGGAAAGAGCAGTGGACATCAAAAGAAGGATTAGAGTAAAGACACTTATTCAATAAACGAAAAAGCCATGGAAATACTCATAAAGCTGCCAGCGTAACATGTTACTGTTGATTGACCATGCTAGTTCACAGTTGATCTTATGACAGGACTGACTTACATCACACCTGGCCTTGTAGATAGAACATGGACACTTGACTGCCAGAAAAACATTAGCATAAGGCACAGTAGGGGGAAAACGAACAGGGCAGAACAAGGATCCGGTGACCAGAGATTCAATCATTTGGAATGAGCAGAGATTGTATCAAGTGTGACCACATCGCAATAAAAGAATAAACACGTTTGTGATGTAACTGAATCAAATCAAGAGATGGTCCATCAATCTGACTGTTGTTTAGAGAGAGCACGGAAATAAGTGGAGATTTTTGTTCAGCTGGGACTTGATGGTACAACAAAGGAGTTTGTTGTACAACCATAAATGTACTTCTTAGGCAAGCTTAAAACAACATGCAAAGATCTACAGCTGTGTCACGAAAACTGACAGTGAGCTGGTCAACCTTCCAAATGTACTTCAACTTTACTTGAATTTTGGAACAGTATGACAGAAAAGCCCGATAAAAATCAGGATTTCGTGTGAGAACTTTAGGCAAAACAAATTGTGTAGGTAGGTTTTTTTTTAAGGAAAGGGCATCTCATCATTCCTAACTACTTCGGTAAGTCAGTTCAAATTAATTTTGTATTCAACAGACTGAACAAGCTAGGTTTTTAACTCTGTTCAAGTCAATCCCAAAAAATCAACCAATTCTGATTGTATTAAATTGAGTTTTAGTGCTTTTGCAGTCAGATGCCATATTTCACAAAACCAGGTTCAACGAAGTGCAATGGCTACGTTTGGTGCATGTGTGAAGACAGGGATACCAAGCAACAATGTTAAAGCTCTTCTTCCAACACATAAAGGCCCTTACACACCAGGCCGAAATCGTCCGTTTTCGTTAGTCGGACGACGAAGCGTGCCCTGTCGCCCAAACTGAATTTGGTGTGTCCCGCACCGTCGGCCGTGACACGCCTTATTTGGCCTTTCATGGCCGACGCAGGGTCGATTCAACATGTTGAAAACACATGGCCAAGACGCAGGAGAACACGGCGACGCAACAGTCGGCGTGTTCTCTGGTGACTGCTTGGTGTGTCAGGGCCTTAAGCACAAACTCAAAAGAAATACATCTGTAATAGGACTAGTCAGATAATACTTTTGACCTCTTTTCTTTGTTCTTTGACTTAATGTAAACTCTGTACTTTGTTCAAAGGATTCTCTACTGTACATGAAGACGTACTGCTGTGTGATAGCTATAATAGAAAGAGAACTGATTATGTTTAGACTTGAGTTGAAGCACTCTGATACAAAAACAGCACGCTGATTGGAAGCACAGGTTTCCCAGAATACACTGACAGTTTACACATACACTACTTATCAAAAATGACATCTGTTATAAAAAGTTGGGGAAGGTTTTTGAACATAGTGACCTAAAGATTTAGACAAAACTCAAAAAGGAGTCAACATGAAAAAATATCTATTTGGTAACAAAAGTGAACTTACTATGCAGTATCATAAAATAAAAAAAGTCAAATGTACCTCGGCAAAAGCTTATAAAATATAATATGAATAAAATAATATAATATTCCTTGGTCCGTAAAAACTATGTTACTCTTACAACAAATGTTTCCTTTGCACACAGCAGATGAATCAACAAGACCTGTTCAGCACAAACGTGATCTCAGTAGAAAGAGAGCACAGCTGAAATAGCTTCCCACAGGCGTATAAAAAAAACTAAATTATTGTTTCTTGTTCAAATCCGGTTGTTGTGAGCGTTACATGGGGCATTTTACTTCTCTTAGCTGAACATCTTCAATATCGAGGTCCTTTAAGTGTAGCTTTTGAAATGTCCAAAACAAACCAGTAGAGGGAGCTAAAGAGAGAATTCAGTCTTCTCTTTGTCCTTGCTTTTTTTCTCCAACTTTTCTTTAGCATTCCCGATGATCACAGTTGCTCTCTGATGAAGAGTTTGTGAGTCTGTATGCATTTCTTCACAGGTCCATGAGCTTGTCTGGCTCAAAAGCATATGCACACATGTTCTCTCTCAACCGTTCAAAGCACAGACAGATTGACTATGACAGTAGCGACATGGTGGACGCCCCTGACGACATGCCTGAGTCACTACTGTTGTAAGCCCCATGGCCGTCCCCGAGCCCCCCCAACGAGGATGAAGGGGAAGATGAAGATACCGGTGATGATGAAGAGGTGCTATGTGTCCGCAGAATGGCCCCAGCAGCACCGCAGTGGGGTCTGGGCCCAGGCTCAGGGGTGTAGGTGAAGGTGAGGGCGGTGGAGTAGATGACTCCATCGTTGCGGACTAGTGTGACAGGGACTTGCACCGGCTGTCTCACCCAGCGCCAGCCCTCCCTGAAGGCAGAAATGTCCGGCACCACACACAGGACGCTCTCTCCACATCTGAGGGGACAGACGTTTGAGACAGGGTTTGAATATTCAAAGATTCAAAAGGTTTTAATGTCATATTCACAAAACTACAGTGTAGAAATGGCAATGAAAATCTTATGACCTGAGCTCCTCCAACAATCCAACATATATAATAAAATAGTAAAAAGTAGTGCAAAAAGTCTATATACATGTAAATAGAATATGATATGTACACTGTGGCGGCGCCAGAGTATTTTTGTTGGGTAATCTATGGTAGGGCTAACCCATACAGTGGTGGGGCTCAAGTCAGTATTTGCAAAGTAATTACATACACTCTATATCGCCCCCCTTGACAGTGAAACGCCACGCGAGAGGTTTAGATTATTTCCCTGTCTCAATCAAAATGGAACTGTACGAAATAAAATGGCACATTTGTCTTGTAGTAAATAAAAAGGGACCACTGTGACGTTGAAGATCCAATGGGGATACTAAATGGCGGTTCCGACTGATCTCATCTGTAATGCATGACGCAGACCCAACGTTTCGTTGCTCTGATTGGCTGTAGGTCTGACTCTATTCAAATTGCATTCGGGGGCATTTTGATCTGACCTCGGCCGCGCTGATATTATAACGCCAGAGAATTTCCACACCTTTAGTGTATAAAACTCCCCCACTACTTAGACTATTCCTTGCACCCCTCTAGCATAAGCCCGAATGGTCTAATCCATATTGCATCAGTAACGTGCACTTGTTGTTACAGCAGGATCAGTTTGTGTGTTGTGGACAAGACCGGTAGATTTTCGCAATCCGTGTTCTCAACATGCTTACTTGCATACTTTTTCATGGTCGGGCTAAGGTAGGGCCAAGCCATTCATTGGTATGGCTGTAGCCTACCCCAGCCATACCCTGGTGCCGCCACTGTATGTACAAGAACAGAATATTAAATAAAATAATGTAAATTAAGACAAAATTAAATATGGTTTATTGTGTTGATAACTATTTATATAAATAAGTATATTGCAAGATGACATCAGGAATGTTTATCGGGGCACTTAGCAGAGCTCAGGTGTTTAGCGGTCTTATGGCCTGTGGGATGAAACAGTCCCTGAGTCTGGTGGCTTTAGTCCGGATGCTGCGGTGCCGCCTGCCAGACGGCAGCAGACAGAACAGTTTGTTACTGGGGTGATGGGGGTCTTTGATAATCCTGAGGGCTTCCTTCCTGAGCCGCTGGGAGTAGAGGTCCTCCATGGATGGCAGCTCCGTCCTGGTGATGCCATTACTCACAAATGTTCCCACAGAGAAACAGAAAACGTACCTATACATGGTGTCAGCCTCCACATCTCCAAACCACACTCTGAGCTTGGGGGTGAAGTTCTGTCCGGTCAGCTCCAACATCGCCACATCTCCTCCCCCGTTTAACTTCACACAGACATACAAAAAAAAGGGTTTTATGTCTTTAAATGGTCCCTCAATGCTGAGTCAAAACTGAAAGAGGAAGTGGTTGGTAACCAGCACTTAGGTTGGCTGATAAATGTATAACAGACATGTTTTGCATACCTGCAAAGTCTCCACCACAGGGACAGGTGTGACCGGTGTTGGGACCGGTCCCATTCCCTCGTAAAAGGTGTACTCTGCCTTGTCAGTGCTAATGATAGTCCAGGAAGCCCCATCGTTTACATTCTCCTTGTTCGTCTCTTTGGAGCATTGTGTGGCCTGGGAGGTAGAAAAAAAACCATAGAAATACGTTTCACTTCCCACTTGCACATATAACAAGAGAGAAACCCACGTGAGTTTAGATAGGAGCTTGTCGATGAGAGGGATAAATATAAGACTCTCTTCTAACGCCTTGGGATGCTCATTAAAACAAACAGGTAGACATGTAGCCTGGGTACTAAATAATTCACAACACATTCTTGCTGTAGGCAGACATGTTCTCTGTAAAAGCCCCGTGTTATATGGTAAGTAACAATTAAAAGAGTATCATTTGAAAATGATTTGATTAAGGCAGAATTGAAACTCTTACTTAAAACCCCAATTCCAGCCCGTGTGTGTAAGTGTGTGCGTTATTACACACCTGAAACTGGATGATCCTCTCCTGCGAGAGACAGAGATACATTTTGTCTGTATCTTTCAGGTAGAAGGCACACTTGTGAAGCTGGGACACCGGGTCATCTGCGTCCATTAATGCAGTCTGCTTGTCTACTTTACGAATGACCTGGGAAATGAAAACAAACACACCCATCATAAGTAATCAGAGAAAGATAATGCATATATGTGTATACATGCAATTTAACACAAACATCTGTGTGCAGTTGAAAGACAACACAGACATGACTACATAGATGGTGCATACCAGTCTGGGCAGGGCCATGCCAGTAACAGAACAGACCAGTTTGACTGTCTGGCCATAGTGAATATAGCCGTCTCTCACAGCAAACTCCTCTCCCTCAGACTCCTCCTCGTCCACTAGGAAACGAAACAGAGCATAACAATTATGTAAAAGTCTATAACTTTCTCTTAACCTTTAATAGGTGCTCTCTATCAGTCAAGGGACAAATGAACATCAATGAAAACAACTGTAAAGACCACAGAGAAAATAATGTAAAGTGAAAAAATGAACCACAGATAAAGACTTACAGAGGTGGATGTAGAAGGCTCCCCACTGTTGGGAGCTGGCGAGAAAGTTCCCCCCCTCCACATGAAGATACCTGGTACTGACTGTCTGGGAACGCAGGCGGTTAAACAACGCCACCTTAGTCCCTGAAGCTATACACACTGGGGAGAAAGGAAAAGGGGTAAAGGAAGAGAGATGAGTGTCAGTGTGTAGTGAGACCATACAGCTGTCAAGCATCAGCTAGTGTGTGTATGTGTGTGTTCAAACACCCTGTAACTCACAATCTGCATTTTTCAAGGACTGTTTCTTCTTGGAGGGCTTGGAGATGACCTTGATCCTCTTGCTGAGGAAGACTCCTATGTTGTCGCTGTTCCCGTACAACATCTTCACAGACAGCATGAAGTGTTTCCTTTTGTCCGAGTCACTGATGTACAGAGTCTTAGCTGTGCAGAAGTGCTAATGCAAGGAGACAGATTAGGTTAGGGGTTTTTGTGCGAGTGCGCATGGTTTTGTTTGTCCCCCTTTCACCTCCCTCTTTTCCCCGTATAAGAGTTCTTTGTTGGCATTGGTGCAATAATAAAACACAAGAAAGAACATCAGTGCATGTGTGCAGTGAAAAACAGAGGATATGTCAGACAGCTAATTAATGCAACTTTACATTTGATGGTGTGGTTACTTTGCATACTTTGCTAAGAGTGAAGCTGAGCAAAGGTAGAATGGTAGGAACTTAGATAATCGTGAATTAATATATATTCATATGATTAACTTCAAAAAAGCTGTCATTGTAGAGAAGGACAAATAGAGCCTTAGCATGAATAAAACAGCTATTATCATATGAATGTAGCAGACTCACACAATAGTGCTTTCTTTTTATTGATTGTTTATTTATGCAGGGGTAACTTATGATTAATTATTAACTCATTCAAGATCACTGATTTTACTGAAAATGATGTTCACTCAAATTATTGTTTTTTTAACTAAATATTAGGGGTACCACTTTACAATAAGACTACCCTTATAAAGGATTCCTAAAGGGTTTATAATTAGGTTGTAAACACTTTATTAATCATTAAGAACCATTTATAAACCTGTTCTAACATAGTTTTCATACATCAACACAGGCTCACTATTTGGCAAGACGACTAAGCCTTATATTGGCTACATAGCGAGAATCAACTCAGTGAGCAACAGATACCAAGGATGCTGGCTGATGAAGAAGACCAAGTAAGCTAGGTAGCCAATATAAGGCTTACCAGTACAGATAAATGTGGGCTCACTATTTGGCAAGAAACAGTTGCCCTTTTTATCTCATGTCTTATAAAAGCTTATTCATGATTTATAAAGTGTTCACAACCTAATTAATACATGAATTACAAACTATTCGTAAACCCTTTATAAGGGTAGTCTTATTGTAAAGTGGTACCATATTAGGTTTATAAGCATATTTTAAGCATCAGGATACTATTGTGCGTCAAAATGATCATGGTCAGGATACATTTGAAATAAAATGTTCATATTGTCCCATGCCTAATGGGAAGACTTTGTTAACAGTGACGATTACCAACATCATAACATGGAACCGTAATTAAAACCCCTTTAATATTAAATGTATAAATGCTAACTCACCTTTCCCTCCAGATTGAGTTGCTGCATCTCCTGCTCGCTGTTGCCTATCCCGATGAATGCACATGGCTGGGCCTCCTGCTCCGTGCACCCCTCCTTCGCCATATTCTCCAACTTTTTCTTCCAGCCACTGCCCATCAGGTACACACATGGTGGAGGGCAGAAAAACCTAAGAGGCACAAGTAGGGTTAAAAAACATACATTACAGTTTTGAACATTGATTTATCATCTAACAAACTTAAACTTGAGTGTACATTTATAAAGTAATATAACAAATCATTGATACTGTATATAAAGTATAGAAATATGAGAAGTCCTAGTCAAACCTTTTTTCATTGCCGTAGGACTTTTGTGCAACTTTTGCATGTAGTATGATCACAGTTTGATCATTTTTGTCCTTCAAGTAATTCCTCATAGCCTCCCTGAAATGAAGGAAAATCATGTTAACACTGACAAATTGTTCTAACATTTAATGCAATCAAATGTAATCAAGTTGTCCCAGTTTTTGTGGTAGATTTAAAGAGTTTGAGATGTATGCACTGTGAGGGTTGCCATTCTGTTTCTGCTTACCTTGTCAAACGCTGAGGTCGCTCACCAAACTTCCTGCAAAACAAAAACATCAGGGTGCAAGGTGTTTACGCTGCTGGGCTAATGTATCAGATAAAACAATAAGCCTGACTGAAAGTGAACAACTGAGTGACAATGTGCACAATACTAGCGAGTCGCGAAATCTGTAAAATGCTTATAATATCCTATTGCTTTATTAACTCAGATACACATGTAAACTAAAGATTAAAACATTGTTTCGCCTTTTGTTTATAGTATGTTTTTATACTTGTTAAGGAAACTCAGTAAGGAAACAATTCAGACAGATATTTAAATAATGGTACTAATAGCACAGCAAATGTTGTACAATGTGTGCAATGACACTAATATATATTTGACACTCATTGTCACTGACCATTGTCCTTAAAGGGTAGTTTTTGAGAAGTTTGTAAAGCTATTATATTGCTGCTGTGCGTAACCTGTTGAAACCATTTACTGTCTATGGTTAAACCACACATTACACAAATACAGAAGAAGTAATTCAGTAGAAAAGTAAAACGTTTGACTGACAAAAAGTTTCTTAAGTAGTTTGAAACATATTCAATATCGTACAACTCCTCAAATGGCAAAGAAAGCAGCAATACTACGAAGAATACTTTGGCACAACTGACCCCACATCAAGCCTCAAAGTAGCAATGCGTGGGGTCAGCTCACTGAGGACAAGGCAACACTCCGAACACCCCGAAGCATCACTCAAGAACACTACTAACTACAAACGGGTTAACACAAGAAAAAAACTTTTTTTATATCATTATGCTTTGAATTTCAGCACTTACCCCGTAACAACGGGCGCCATCTTCCAAAATAACTCTCCCCCGGAAAAAAAAAAAAAGTCCAACAATCGCGAGATCCCTCCCCCAGCTCCCTCACCAAAGCCAACCGCACAACAGGAGAACCAGACTGGAAGGAGAAGCAGGAGAGAAAGAGGGGGAGGTGTGACGGGGCAAAGGGGTGAGAAGAGGGGGAGGGAGTGGCGACGGGCAGAGGGCAGACGCCTAAACAACAGGCGTGGGAAAGTTACAAAGTCACGCGAGAACTCAAAAACTCTCACAATAGACATAAATGAAAATCGACCTATTCTATCGCGAGACGAAGCGGCTCTCACAACTTGCTTTTTTTCACAAGGCACCCACACTGTAACTCGATTCCCACGCCTTATTGAGCAATAAAGCTAAACTACACCTCTCTACGGTGATTAATTTCGAAACACAGCTTGAAGATGATTAAGTGTTACGTAAGTGGTAACACCAGGAATACAAATTATTGTTTAAAATCTTCATATGGTCTTTTTATACTATTCTTCCCCTGATTTAAAGGCCCAAAGGGTGATCAGAAATAAGTTCTTAGAACAAAACTCACTCTTAAATTCAAACTCAAAAAGAAACAACTTCTTGGAACATATTTTATTATATAAACTTATATTCAAATGAATTCATATTTATGTTAACTGTCAAATGTAGAAATGACAAATGATAACACATTTTTATAGTAAGAAAATACTTCAAATATGTATTTTTAAATCGCAAAATTACACATGGGCACCATACAGTATCATTGCTTTCTTTAAACTCATCCCAAACTTAACAAAAAGTAAATATAAAAATGAAAGGCAAATCATTTCTGCCAATACTTTCATCACAAAAAAGAAAATTATAAAAATAAAAACGATAAATTCTGCAAATTTGACAACTTGATCATAAAGATTATCTCATGGACATGCATGCTTCTGCACTGACCAAAATGCAAAGCAAGCAACCTCTGGTGGTTTTCAAAAGTCATCTGACATGCCCTCCTTCACTTCCCCTCCACACTTGGTAACACGCAGCATTTCAAATGGAGAGAAGACAGCCAAGGACAGATATATTGCAGATGTTTAACTTTCCATTTAAACATAGCTTTAACTACAGTTTCCCCCCTTGTTTATACAGCATTCTCTTGATAGTACATAATTTAATGCGTCACTCTCACAAAAATCCACTTCAGTTTTCTGACTAATGCAACAGTATTTGTGGCAGCACGGACTGTCCCAAGAGGAAGTCAAGTAAAGCACTACTTTAACACTCTGCTGCTGTAGTCTGTGGTATAGGATGAGGAATTGAAACTAGCATCTATAACATAGTCCAATAACAATAACATACTCCTGAAATGTATGAACTGTTCTCTGACGAGTTCTTCCTGAGTCAGTTAAGGTATTTGGTCGGGGTGCTCTGCTTCATATCTGAAGAGCTTTGGAAAAAATATTTAAAACATGTATGGTCGTGTAAAGTATTGGCTGAAAAAAGTAATTACAAAAACTGAAAAAATATTTGCTGTTTCAAGGCTACCACACATGTTCAGAGAACAGATAATCACCATAGTTTTGATAAAATAATCTCCCGTTTCCAGCTTTCCAAATGTCGTCAGATTTGAACTCCAGCAACTGATGTAAACAATGTCCTCTGGTATCGTTGTTGGTACGTCCCATTCAGAGGGTCAGCTATTAAATCTTCCAGAAAATCTTCTTTCTGTAGAGCACGTAAGCGATAAAGACCCAACAGGAAGTAGCCACAAGGTTCTGGGTGAGGTGCTCAGTGTGGGATTGGCTGTTGGACATCTGCCAACGAAAGGGGAAATACTCCTCGAACACTTCATGGCCCACGTACACAAGGATGGAGTTCATACCTGTAAAAATGCACACAAATCACGCAGTTCAACAAAAATTCGTAAACATGGCAGATCTAATGTTTTGTCCTCAGGCAGAAGTGAGACACATCAGTTATTATGTAGACGGAAAAATGTGCTATTATTGAACTTCCTCTCAGAAAATACCCTTGATATGAATTCAAACTAAATGAAAATACTGAGCTAGCGTGAGAAATGGAAGGTCGAATCCGTTTACAGTCGGTATATACATATAAAATCATGCCCAATGTACACAATTGTCATTGTGAAAATCAGCTATTGATCATCAGTGTATATTTGACTATACAGTGCAATTCTTACCAGGATAGTAGAAAGGTGCTCCAGACCACCACTTCTTCACATCCACTGTGAAGTACACCAGCACTAGCAGCACGTTTGCAAAACAGGCCAGCGTTGTGACATAGGACAGAGACCTAGAAGTGAAGTTAACAGACACAAGCAGCATTATTAAACAAGTTATATTGCAAAGATTTGAATCCCTCTAAGTTTAGGAAGCTTTCAATTGTATTTCATTTCTCTCTGTAGCTTGTGCTGAAGGTTAACTGCTGACTGTGCCGATGAGGCAACCAGTGTTGCCTTTTAGTAAAATTCCAACTTGTAACACAGTTGGATGTTAAGGAAAAGGGAGATAGCTGGCTAGGAATTAAGCGCACATTTGGAAACCAGAAAAATACTGGAACTTTGAGAATAATACCTTAGTTGTAATGTAATTGTCCACAAAGCTAAAAAAGTAGTCTTTGGCCAACATTATAAAACAATAAAAACATACCTGCCTACACCAGAACAAGCCACAATAAAGCACTAAAGTACTGTAAAACGCTTGAAACATAAGACCTATGAACCAAATACATCAGATGGGGTGGTAAACAACAACAAAAGAAAAGCTTGTTATGTCTTCTTTAAAACGTTCTTAAACTGTCTATTCCTTGAAAGAAGCGATACAGAAAAAGGCAAAACGTGTAACATCTGAAGGAGCATACAGTGAAATCAAACTTTACCATAGGTTCTTGTTAACAGGGATGAAGCCATGGTCAGTAGAACATTTGGTCAGAGCTGCAGATATGGCTCCCTGTGTGTCACAACAGACATTATTATTCACTAAGGATCAACATTGTCTCAGCATTGAAACTGAGAACCTGCTTAACAAATCAGTGGAATATTTACTTATCTGAAGTAACAAAAATCAGATTCATGTGTGTACATACTGTAGCATCATATGATAATGCTTATGACAACTTGTTATTGTACTCACCAATAATAGACCCCATATAAGGAACCTTGAAATTATACTTGTGTGGAGATCTCTGTAGTGTAAGATTATTTTTCCTGCCTGGGGACAATTCAAAATGTTAAAATTGGAATCGGTTTAGTTGTTCAAATAAGCTTTCTTAGTATCAAGTTTGACATCAAAATACCGATATAAGCAAGAGACAAAAGGTAAGAGAAACTAACAAGTACTACAACAAACCTGTAATCCAAGGAAAGCCATGAGAATAGAGTTGATGCTACCGAGAACACCTTCTGGGTCATATGGCATATGAGTTGCATAAATCACCTTTATTTAAATGGGAAAAGAACAAATATGTTTGTGAATAAGTTAAATGTATCATTGCATCACCTGTGATGTAAGCATTTTGGGGCTAGCAATTGTGCATGGGCCTCTTAGAGGAGGGAAACCTTATATGTAAGCTCAAGTTTCACATCTCAGGTTATAAAAAGACTAAATGTGTCTACACCCGGTATGTTTTAGTTGTTGTTCTGGTCACTAACCCGTGACGAGGGAGTCTGGTAGATGTGGCTTTCTCCAAGAAGCCATCTGTCAATGAGACTAGCAGCTCCACCGGTGCAGTTAGCGTACAAGCCCATGTCCCCGATCCCACCTGGACCCAGATAGCCTCTGTTCAGGAGAGTCGGGAAGTCAGTGTTATCAATGTGGGATAAAGGGTAATGAGAGCAAAGTTAATCATTCAAAACAACCCAAAACTAAGGATGGAATTGTTGGGGTTTCTATCAATTCTGCTTTAAATCTTGATTATGCTAGATGTTTTTAATTGTGATTTGCTAATCAATTATTTTACAATACCTTGTTGGCTTTGCAATTATCTAAACATATGTCAACATGTTTGGAAGTCTAAAACCTGTAGCTGAAGCTAAAATTGAATACAGAATGTAGTGATAGAGACTACTCATCACCTGATAATCAAATAGAATTGCCAAAGCATTTCACACAAACACAGGGGCTGGGCTTGAAACCAGAAGATCACCAGTTCCAGTTCCTAAAGGGACCAAGGATATAGTGTGGTCTGGGTCCTGGAGAGGGGCCAGTTCCTCTCCTGAGCATTGCTCATTCTACATGAATACAGACAAACATTCCTTGTTTTACTCACGTTGGGCAATCTGGCACAGGAAGTAGGAAAGTGAGGCATAACCAGATGATTTCTAAGATAAGTACACACAGCCAGGCTGGCCAGTACAGCAAGATGTCAAGACCAGGGGACCACCAAGCATCCTGGGGGACAAATACACGTGAATCAAACACTTTAGTTCTCATTCAAAATACATGTATCATGGATCAGTAAATGAGGGATACAATTCCGAATTTTGACACTCTTTTATATTTTCAAAGCAAATACAGCAGTTTTATTTTTAGATAACTTTTGCACCAGTTGAGCAAAAACTAGAAAGCTAAAGAATAACGGTAAATGGAGCTGTTTGCTGACCGTTGTAAGGATGTCAAGGCGACCTCTTGCCACCAATAGATCCAGGCAGGCCACAACTAAGTATGAAAAGGCCAGGCGCTGCAACACACCAGGAATCCGCAGGTTGTCCCAGGATACTGTGGAGTAGATGAGTATTGGGTATGAGAACACATGTAGGCAAAAACATGACAAGCAAGCAAAGAAAGAAAGGAAAAGGTCAACAGTGTTATCAAAGAACATGATTTATTAATAATGAAAATGATTGGCAATATTAAAGTCAACCTCAAAGTAGTGTTTATTCTCACATGGTCCGTGGCAGTAGTTTGGGTTGATGATGAAGACACCGATGATGAAAAGCTGCATGCTCCTCCACACAACTTTCCTCAGCAGTGAGCAACGCGTGGAACCTGCTCGGAGCATGGAGTGGGTTGACAGGGCGATGGACGTCCCCATTATAAACACAAACCTGGTGGAAAAAGGGTGAGAAAATCAGACACAAAGAGGAGGAAGCTGAATATGACATAGGGTTTAAACTAATACCAAACTTACCAGGGAAAGACTAGATCTGCAACTGTGAGGCCTGTAAGAAGACATGTAAAACACAGGCTTTAAAATCAACTACAATTCTAAGGCCGAACACTAATATCTGTGAAGAACTCGGTTGAAAGAAAATAAAAGTATAACCAGGTGGGACTCACCATTCCAGCTTTCATGTCTAAAGAACCAGTATCGTCCCCCTCCATAGTTTACAAACACCATAATGACTAAGGAGATGCTGACAGGACATAGGGAAAACAAACAAAACAAGCAAAGTCACATTGAAATATTTGCTTCAAATGATGCGACAAAAATGCAGACCTAACTGCTCACTTTTCGACAAAAAAACACTTTGAAACCACTTCAAGGCCCTAGATTCATGCTGATACTATCAGTATAAGGTTAATTATGAAAATCACAAATCTAGTGTCAGCTGCCTACATTTCCCAGTACTTAAAAAAACACATGATATGAGCGATTATGCCAAATGGTAACTTGATTAATATCTCTTTTTGAGGAAGCCAAGCTGCAGAGTTGGGGGGGGTACCCTCTGAATGTGTCCAGAGATCGCAGCCTCTTGCTGGGGCTCGATGGTGGAGGGAGGATGTTGTCAGCTATCAATGATACCGTCCTGTCAGGGCTACCCAGTTCCTGAATGATGAAAGTTGGTTAGAAACACTGTTCAACCGAAGCATACACCTCTATAAACGTTTGGTTGACATAGTAATTTTGGCTAAAAAGATTGTTGTTCGAAAAATATCTTCTGCACAAACACTCACAGAGTTGATGAGCCTCTCAGTCTCCATGGAGCCACTTATTCGGAAGAAGAAACCCCTCACGACATCAAGCCTGGAGAAAAAGCAGTCAACCAGTTTAGGAGTAATTTCAACAGTTCACATTTGAGACACAAGAACACAGCAGCAGGGACTCTCTGTTCTTAGCTGTAACCTTAGTTAATGCTGCAGCACTGCAACACATAATACATATGATTTAACTCTAAGGAATTCATATGTTGCATCATACATAGATTTGATTTTGTATGTAAACATGAATTTAGATTTTTCTATGAGTATGAAATCAACGCAGTTCTACTTAAAAATGTAATGAATAAATACAGAAGAACAAAACAATAACATTACCCTAATATTGTTGTTCCTATGGCAGACGCCAAGGCCAGTCCAGCAAAGATAAGAAAAGCTACCAAGATCGCTTGAGAGATCATGTAGAGAGAAAGAGGAACATGATTTTAATTTGACATTTTTTAATGGCATGATCACATCATAAAAAAAGACTTGGCACATGTGTGTGTCATAAAGTGTAATGAACGTGTTAATACATGCAAGACTCACGTATGTAGCTGTTGACAGGGTCTGCACCAGTCACCAGAGAGCAGTTGACCACTGAGGAGTCGTTCAGATTTTTCACCCAGAGAGAGTAGTTCCCGTGCTCCCCAAAGTGGAATGGAACCCTAGAATCAAATAAATGAAACGCTATAACACGCCGCAAACAAACCGGGCTCATTGATATATGGATATATGCTCATAGTCATTCCGTGGATCTTTAATGTTTTATATATGTAGGTTGCCATTCAACAATTTTTTAATAACAAGATAGAGAGTTGATACACCACACTTTACAAGTTTATGTAAAATATGTCTGCTACAATGTTACATTTTAACATTTGATTGTTTTCACCTTTGAGCTAGGGACTTAGCCTTAGTGAAGGGACACCCCAATCAGGAGAGCTGTCGACCCCTAAATCAATCAATGTTTATTTATATAGCCCAATATCACAAATGTTACATTTGTCTCAGTGGACTTCACAGTTTGTACAGAATATCAGTATGACAATACGACACCCTCTGTCCTTAGACCCTCACATCGTACAAGGAAAAACTTCTGGAGAAAACCCACAGTTTAAATGGGAGAATGGGAGAAACCTCAGGGAGAGCAACAGAGGAGGGACAGGGTTCCTGCAGGTTTCCCCAACTCAAATTTAAGACTTTTTAAGACCTTTTTAAGACCACATTGAATAGAATTTAAGACCTATTTCACGGCAATGAAGTATGAAGGAAAATTGCTATGAAAGAAGAAATACATCCCATAATTACTTACAAAGTAAATGTATTCATGTGTGTGTGTGTGTGTGTGTGTGTGTGTGTGTGTGTGT